ACCTAAAGTCTGAGTACTAGAGTAGTCCCGAAGGGAGTGGCCGGACTTGGCAACCAAACCTGGCAATGGCCTTTCTTTTTAATCGAAAGCATTATTGTACTCGCCCATGAAACCGCAGCGTTTTCATTGAAAACATTCAGAGAATAATCCGAATTGTTAACAGTCACAAGGACCGTCTGCCTCCCTTCCAACTGACTGTGCACACCCACAGAGGAAAGGCAGGAATGAGGGCCTTGCCCGGGACTCCTCGGAGAAACTAGGGGACACCGCGCCATAGAATGTTGCTGCTGGGCTGCGGGGCCAGTAGACCATGGTGGTTAGGTTCATCAGTGGAATTACCCTAGGAGCTGGCTTCAACGTTGTTGGCGTTCTAAACCTCACCTTACTCATAGATGAAACAGGGATGATCATCATATTTCTCAGAGTATAGGAAGAGTGAGAAAGGCCTGTGAAGACTAGTGCATGGTCCTTAGCTGTCATTCCCTGCAAACACTAAACTCTTAAGGGCAGGGATCAGATTGCCTGCGTCCCTCACCTTTGGCTAAAAACCAAACCCACACCATTGAGTCAAATCCAACTCCGAGCACCCCTGTAGGGCACAGTACTAGGGTGGATATTTACTACAAGGAGCCCTGGTGGTACGAATGGTTAAGCACTTGATAGCTAATTGAAAGGTTGGCAGTTTGAACCCGAAGGGTACAGTCAGGGTGATCTGCTCCCATGAATATTCCCAAAAGCTCCCCGCCATCAAGTTGATTACAATACATATATAGGATTTCCAAGGATGTAAATCTTTACAGGAGCAGATAGCTTCAATTTTCACCCATGAAGTGGCTGGTGGGTTTGAACTGCTGACCTTGTGGTTGGTAGCCCAATGCTTATCCAACAGCACCACCAGGGCAGCTCTCATAAGGATCATACCTTAGAAAACCTTACAGGCATTGGGGTCACTCAAACCAAACTCACTGTCCTCAAGTCAGTTCTGACTTCTAGGACCCCTATAGAAGTTGCCCCTTTGGATTCCAAAGATGTAAACTTTTTCAGGAGCAGAAGCCTCATCTTTCTCCTGCAGGGCAACTAGTGAGCTTGAACTGCTGACCTTGCCGCTAGCAGTCCATTGTGTTATCCACTACACTACCAGGGCTCCTTGCCTCAAAATATCTAACAACAAATTATCTTCCAGGAAAGCAATGGCTGACCTATGCAAACCACATGCTAGACGATGTCTTGGATACAGAGAAAAGCCCAAGCAATCAGGACAGGCCTGTCTGAGCAGGAGGAGGAGTGTTTGATCAGGATTTTTAAGAGATAAGACTGTTAAGAGAGGACCTGATTTTGATAAATAAGTCAGATTTCTTCATATTGGGAGAGAGTATTCTTTCTATAATTTTTTGTGTCTATGAAGACAATTCTTGCCCCAACAAAAGGATCAGAAGAGCCCTGAGAAGACTGAAGGCAGATGTGTGTTTTAAAGCAAGTAATAATGAATTGGAAAGTATGCTTGCCTTGGGATCAGGTACTACGTAACCCAAAGTCGATCCGTTGAAAACGTCACTTTAGACCCGGTTCACTTGAACACATGGGAGAACCCTGGAAATTATGGAGAAATTAAAAGAAAAGGCTTATTAAAACCTTTGCTCATTACTGTAGGAAGGACTTTAAAAAAAAAAGCTTTAGTTCTGATGTAAGACAATGTTCTCACTGAGGTCCTGGAATAAAGACTTTACGTGTACAAAAGTGTATGTGAAATCATTATTCATGGGAGTGCTTGCTTTTCTGTGTTGTAGGTCTACAGGTGGGTCTCCAGGTGCACCCGCAGGTTCAAGTGCTGCCTCTGGCAGCAATCGAAGACTGCAGCAGACACAAAACCAAGTGGATGAGGTATTGTCCTGAAATGTTGGATGTGTGGATTTTAAACAAACATAGGAGCACTCTGGAAATAGTTCGGTTTAGAAAAAAGTACCAAGAAAGTATAAAGACCAAGTGCATTTTTTTTAGAACAATTTTCTTTATTCTTTTTTTTTTTAATCATTTTATTGGGGGATCATATAATTCTTATCACAATCCATACATACATCCATTGTGTCAAGCACATTTGTACATTTGTT